ATCCATCCATCCATCCATCCATCCATCCATCCATCCATCCATCCATCCATCCATCCATCCATCCATCCATCCATCCATCCATCCATCCATCCATCCATCCATCCATCCATCCATCCATCCATCCATCCATCCATCCATCTATCGAATTTAATAATCGAACATTTCAGATGTTACAGTATATTTTACAGAGATGTATCTTCCATATTATTACGGAGAAATTGTCATTTTAACATATATTCAAAATATGAAACATCAAATTAAACACTAAACTAATCAGTCAGTCAGAGGGATGATAAACTAAACTAAACATATTATGGAAATAATTTATTGAAAAGTAGTTTACTGATTATTTGAGAGCTGTTGTGATTCCTATAAATACACTTAACCTGTTATTGACATTCTTGACATAACGTATAACCACTTTTTTGTTTTGTGGCCACTAACCTAAAAGCACCCATTTTGCGCATCCACAAACGGAAAATTACACAAATCGAGCAGGCGACGCTCTGGTATTACCGGTGTTAGATCTTAGCTCTGGGCTAACGACAGTATCACTGGTGTAAACACCGGTGAAATCTTGTATAACCTTTTCAGACTAGTAGCCTGCACAGTGAATCCCAGCTGTGAACTTGTCGTTGTGCTTCACCTCACTCAGGGACATTTGGTACTGAACACAGTACTGGTTATGCTGCTCCCTGATAAGAGAAACTGCTGTTGCCACGGAAATCGCCTTAATGTTGGTTGTGATTGTGTTGTTTGGGATTTCGTCGGCATTTTTCCTTTTACAAACAGGATAACATATTTTCTGTTATGTCTCAACAGCCCTGACATTAGGGCTCGCATGTGTGCGATGGTGTGCTGTGTCACAATGACAATAAATCACTTTGACTTTCACTTCCAAACTACTTTTAGGTCACATCGTTTGGGTGAAACCCAGGCATTGCGTCATCGGGGTTTTCATTATTGGAGGAAAAACTGATGACGATTATTACCGAGATTACATAACTACTCTGATATCGGCCAGTGATACTGGTTAGCCATTATTATCGGACATCCCTGGTATAAATAAATCCAATTGATAACATGCATCTTTATCATTTGGCTTATTAAACAATAATGTCCAAGAAGTACTGTATGTCTCGTATCCGAGGCTAGGGGACATATTTACAGGAAGTGCATGTTTCAGTCCAATGTGCCACCACTTCCTGTGCATGTCTGTGTCACACCGGAGAAAATCAACTGAAGAGTGTAATGACAAAGCTTGGCGAGGTTGCTCTCATTAAACTACTATCTATTTAGATTTCTAACGCTAGCACTAATTCTCAGCACAGAGTCTATTCTAATTAATGTTGTTTCAACACCTGCTGGGTCCAAGTTAGTTTGATGGTCCCACAGCACCCGCGGTACGTGCACGGAGCTGGTGAGCTCTCCTCCTCTGATGCTGGGAAAAGAACCAGACTGTAGCAATTCACAGCTGAAGGAAATCTTGTGATTTCAGCACTCTGGGTATTTTTTTGCTGTGATCTGAATCTCAGCACAAGGCTAAGAGAAACTCTGGACGATAGAGGGTCGTCAGCAAATCACCGAGAAGCCTTGTGGCGATGGTACGGTGATAATAGAAAGAACTAGCTTCTTCAAGCTTCCATTGAGGGGAGGGCGGTCAATTTGGCAAAAGCCGAGGTTCCGCTGTATTACATATATAGAAACACTAACCAGAAGAGAAAGAGCAGAAGCGGTGAGAATGTTAGGGAGCGCATCTGAAAAGCTAATTGTGTGGTTCCTACTTCAACGTCAGTTGCACTTTCAATTTACTTGTCTAATTTGAATGTATAAAACCTAGAATCCAACCAAACAACAACATGACAAATTACTCTGCTTGTTTTGGATTAGACACCAAGATCATCCCCCAAATCCAAACAGCAGTCTCTGGTTCCACTACAAACAGTTGTTTTTTCAGTTCTTGCTGCTTTGTTGTTGTTTTTGTTTGTTTTTTGTTTTCAAAGCCTGCGAAATGTGAATCATTTTCATCAATCATGGTACTATAATTTTATTTTATATGGTGTTTTATCAATGGCAACGAACAACAAATCCCAGTGGTTAATGTAATTCAAAGTTAAAGGCTAGATGTTTGTCTTCTGTCTTGGTCCCTGTGTGTCCCATTGGCAGCCTACGTTGCTCTGCTCATTTTTCTTTTTTCCCCAGAATCTATTTGGCTGCACAATAAAGCAGAGGAAAAAAAAAAAAAATCTTTGATTTCCATGCAGTGGATGTGTTCTTCACCGCTGCACGCTTTAAATATATATTTAAATATACAATCACAAGCGTACGCTTGTGTTTGTTACGGTCTGATCTTGTGTTGTTTTCCTTTCCACCTTCTTTAACCAACATGGTCGGCGGCAGCGAAAACATCTAATTTGTGCGTCTCCTTTATGAAAGCTGTCATACTTGCTTTCCCTGTGACGAGGGAAAACAATCAATTAAGTCAGCGCTGTGTATATTACTAACACTTAAACACAAACACACACACAGAAAGGCTTTTGTTCTTCGAGCTACGCGATTCGGAAGTAACTCGACACAGACAACGATGACAGTACCTGCCGCTGCACTCTGAGCCTCTTGTCGGTCTCTATCAAAGCTGTTGTGTATGATCATTCCACGTTTGTAATATGAAGATCAGAATTGAAGTATTTACGAAGCATGTGTAAAATGATAGCTTACGATACAAATACGATACAAACGCTTTAAAGCAGCGACGTACGGGGGCCACGTACACCCTGGTTAGATGTCAAGTGGGCCGGACCAGTGCAATTAATACATAATTACCTATAAATAACAATAATGTCCATTGTTTACATATATGTATATTAGAAAATATATATATATATATATATTTGAAAAGACATCATGGACATAAAGTGTTATTGCATTTTTTTTTACTTTTAAAATCCATCAAGTGGGCCAGATTGAGCTCCCTAGCAGGCCAATTTTGGTCCGCGTGCCATATGTTTGACACCCACGATTTAAAGCATTAAAGCCCTGAAATCGTAATTCAACAACAAACAAATTTGAAATGGTATATAAGCAATAGATATACAGTAGTCCCTCGCTATTTCGCGGTTCATCTTTCGCGGATTCACGACTTCTCGGTGTTTTTGAAACTGTATATCCAAAATATACTGTATCCCGGATTTGGATCTGCAAGAGAAGTCACAGGAACGGGACGACGATATAGTTTGATCGGTCCAATGTTGCAACAAAATCGATGACGTCATGACAGCTACTCTTCGACTTGAAAAAGAAGCAGCGGAAGCAACTGCCGATCACGATGTTTTTGCAGTAAAAAAGAGCCAGTTCCTGCTACTACTACTGATACACCTTCGGAAACCGTGGAAGAGGTGGCCCCAAGAAATGGCACCTCAATCATCGGCTGCGCAGAAAAAGTCATCATCACCTTCCTCATCATCATTCTACTGTGCATAAATATGATGTCACTACTTGGCGGAAATTTAGGCCTTGGAACCTATCTACCGCGATAAACCAGGGACCACTGTACAGGCAATCAGGCGAGCAACCCACGGTCAGAAATTAGAGTAGGCCTGAGCCAAAATGCTGTTGACGTGCTGTATCTGAAACTTGCTTTAATCCATATGACTGACAGGTTCTGTAGTTAGCCTCGCTCTGTTTAGGTTGAGCTGGCGTATCACACATAACTCCCATGTCTTTTGTCATAGGGCAATCTCAAAAGTGAGCTATTCCATGCTCCAAAATTACCCCTGGAAGAAGTTAATCTCCTACCCTGTGGTACTCAAACATGCCGAGGAAAGTCTTTCCAGAGTTTGGAAGCTAGCAGCTAAAAGAGACTTGGGCTCCCCTGTGCTTAATCCTTGATCTGGCAAATTTAAAAGCTCCGAGTTGGCAGGGTGAAAGTCCTAGGTGGTACGTGTGTCTGCAGAAGATCTGATGGAGAGGCCAGATTAGAGCTGGTGGTGTGCTGTAACGTACGTTTGAGTTTGGATTTTTGCAGACATTTTACACGAACACAATGTAATATGAAGTAACTGAAATGAGTGACAGCATCACTCATATCAACAGCCTCACTTTTTTTTTTATATATTGCGTATGGTAACATTACTGCATAGTCCCTTACCCTAAAACAGAGGGTTCCAAATTGGGGGGGCATGCCCCCTAGAGGGGACGCAGGGCCAGTGCAGGAAGCTGCGGATGGAGTGAATGAAATGAAATGAACTCAACATATTCTCAAACACTGTAAATGTTTAACAAGACACTGGCAAAAAATTGGTTGACGGTGGTGTAAAATGAATATTTTATAATACTGCAAAGGAGGCCATTATTTTTAATTCTCACTTTCGTTTTTGATGTCGCACGTAAATCTGCTCGGAGCACTAGCAGTAACCCCGTGCAGTCAGTCCTGCCAACTGACCAAAGTAATGCTAGGTAATGCTGGCATAAAATTGACACATTTAAGGTGCGTACAAACAGTTACATTTAAAGAAAGAATTATCTTTTGCAGCAGGGCAAGCGAATCGTTATTTCGGTACTTTCTTAATTTGTGCCACAGTGTGAAAAAAATCTACTGATTCGGGAATTTTATACCCTTTGTTCAATCCTAATAGCAGTCTAGCTGGTGTTATATTACAGTGTTATATAAAAAGTTCAGCGGAGTCAGAAAACCAAAGCTGTGAATTTAATGATTTGGATAAGTAGAAAATGATGTATCTGCTGAAGAGTGCACGACAAAAATGAATGTTCGGTGATGTTTCCGAACACATATTAGTATTAAGTATTAGGAATTGAATTCAAGACAGAGCTCTGTGAATTCTCTCAAGCATATAAAAAAAACCAAGTTTAGATTCACTCTTTCAAAACTGCATTGTATGTAACACAACAGCAAATGTCAGCGGTGTTAACCCCCCCGCCCCCCACGGCGATTCATTATTTGGAATGACTTTGAAATGCACCTTGGGATATTTTTATTTAAAAGAATCTCGAACGCTGACAGTAAAACTAAATTTGAATTTGGAGACGCCGACTGTCTGATGAAAAGCTGTAGGGAATACACCCTCTTGAACCGTAGTCTAGGTCGTCAGAATAAAGTGTTAAAAATGATTACTTATCACGACTTGTCTGGCAGCAAAGGAAGTGCCAAAAGGAAGTGATCTGATAAAGTGGAGCAAATACGACTGAAGTAAATGACGAGCACCTTGGGTTTCGGAGCGGAACGGGGAGACAGAGGCATGAATTCAATGATTACTAACAACGCCCATCCTCCAAAATGAACTTTTTTTTTATATTTAAAAATACCTTTTACAGATAGATAGATCGATAAATAGATGGATAGATCGATAAATAGATGGATAGATCTACTTCCCCCCTGCTGGATCTGCTGTGTAATCACCGTCCTCACCCTCACCTGTGTCCTGTGATTACCTGCTCATCAGTCTCATTGGTGTCACCTGCTGTGGTTGTGCTCTGTGTGGTTGTGAATGCCATGTGTTCCTCAGTCATGCTTTGTCTCTGCCCGGCCCTGTATCCGGTGAGTCTCTCCTAATATTTGCTTTTTTTTTTTTTTTTTACTGCTAATATCTACCGTTACAAGTTCGTTTGTCCAACAGTAGGTGCCCAGGGTAAGAACCAAGAACAACTTTATATGAATAGGGCTTTTTAAAGCATTTTAGACCTGTGAAAATCTAAAGAAAATCACATCTGAAAAAAGCATTCTGCTTCCATATTCCCCCAGAGTTCCCCCGACAAAGATATATTAGGGCAATTTGTTCAACAGAAACTGATACAGACAAGAATGCAGAGACCTACACGGTGGACCACACATAAAAAAATATTGTTCTTCAAAACAGTGGATTTGTCAGTGGGATTGTGCCGTTTATCTGCATTTATAGGGGAAAAAAAAGGGCCGAGAATAAACCAAACCCTTTTCATATCTTCCCGGGTGAATAAACAAACTTTCAGAGAAGCCTCAAGTGATTCCATCTGTGTGAAATGACTTAGAGCTGTCATCGCTCTCCAAGTTACTTTGACATTTGTAACCACAGTCAGTCATTCACATCCTGAAGCTGTGACTCTTTTTTTTTTTTTTGGCTTTACTAGGTCTAAAGACTGTCACTGTGATCCTAGACTCCGCCGAGCTCAGACGACGCATTGGTTAAAAATATAAGACTTGACCAATATGCACATATGAAAAAGACCACTTGGATGAGACTCCAACTAAGGTAAGTTCGTTACAGCATACCGAGCAGCCAAATACAGTGTTCAACCCAGGCATGGGCAAACTAAGGCCCGGGGGCCGGATGTGGCCCGTTCAGCTTTTTAATCCGGCCCGCCAGACTTTTCCAAATTATTTAATTTATTTATATTATCATTATACTTCTGCCTTTTCCCTGCAATACCCACATTTCCCCAATAGATGGTGTAAAAAATGATAAAAGCATTTTAGCCATTTATCTTTAAACGCCATCCATCCATCTCTCTGCTCCTGACCCCGGCCCCCCCCCTGCTTAAATTTAGGACAATTGTGGCCCGCGAGTCCAAACGTTTGCCC